ATAAATTAAAAATAATTTTAAAAGATGACCGGTAAGGGGATCTTAACCCTTGACTTGGTGTTGTCAGCACCACGCTCACCCAGTGAGCAACCGGCCATCCCTATATGGGATCCGAACCCGTGGCCTTGGTGTTATCAGCACCACACTCTCCCGAGTGAGCCACGGGCCGGCCCTACCGGTCATCTTTTAAAACAAACAAACAAACAAAAAAACTTGTCTTTCTCTCATGCCCACATTCTGTTGTCAAATCCCATTGGCTTAACCTTCAAGATATACCCAGAATCTGACTTCTCCTTACCATGTCCACGTGAGGCCACCCCCCACCCCCATCTGGCCCTATCATTGCTCCCCTGGGTCACCACAGTCCCCTCTACCCTCATCCTCTGGTTCCCACCCTCACTTCCCACCCACAGTTGGTCCTCCCAGAAGCAGCCCAAGGGCACCTGTGAACACTTGAGTAGGCCACATCCCTCCTCTACCCCCAGTCCTCCGTGGCTCCTATCTTCCTTGGGGGTAAAAGCCCAAGTCCTTCCTGCAGCCCACAGGGCCCTGCACCACCTGCCCTGTCCCCTCCCTGCTCTTCCCTCCTCCCTGTCTCCCCCTTGCTCACTCTGCTCCAGCCACTCAGGCCTCCTCACTGTTCCTGCAACACGCCAGGCTTGGTCCTGCCCCAGGACCTTTGCACGTGCTGTACCCTCTGCCTAGAATGCTTTTCCCCCAGACATCCCTGTGGTTCCCTCCCTCACTACCTTTACATTTTTATTCATATGTCACCCTCTTTATGAGGCCTTCCCAGACCACTATATTTAAAATGTAAACTCTGCCCTGTGGTATTTGTTATCCTGCTTTCCTCTTTCATTTTTATCCATAGCACTTTTGTTTTCTACACTGCTACGTATTGACTCATTATTTATTATTGCTCTCTCCCCACTGGAATGCAGGATCTGTGAGAGAAGAGGCTTCTGTTTCATTCACTTCTGTATCCCATGTCTAGAACTGGGTCTGGCATATAGTAAGTGTTCAGTAAATATGATGAAACAATGAGTGAGATAATATGTTAAAGGACTTAGCACAGGGTGAGGGCATGTAGTTCCTGCTCAGTAAATGTAAGTTCTTTTTCCCTTTAAAGATGTCAGTGGAGGCTAGCTGGTTATCTCAGTGGTTAGAGCGTGGTGCTGATAACACCAAGGTCCAGATTCAATCCCTGTACTGGCCAGCCACACACACACATAAAAAAGTCACATCCTTATTTTGTAGGTGGGGAAACTGAGGCTTAGAAAAACAAACTATCTGAGGTCACACTTCATGTCAGTTAGCAAAACCTCCCAAAACCCAGCCAATGTGTAATGGGATATAAGAATCTGGACAAGAAAGTGTAAGTTAACTGTCCCAATTAAATAAAATTAAAATAGTAACACTTGGTGCTAAAATGGCTGCTGTAAAATTAATAACGCTAATTCCTTGCTGATCACTGTGTATGCTGTATACAGTTTTCCTGGTGATGTGATCCTGAGATAGCCATATTCTTTTTTTTTAAAGATGACCGGTAAGGGGATCTTAACCCTTGACTTGGTGTTGTCAGCACCACGCTCACCCAGTGAGTTAACCAGCCATCCCTATATGGGATCCGAACCCATGGCCTTGGTTTTATCAGCACCGCACTCTCCCAAGTGAGCCATGGGCTGGCCCCTTTGATAGCCATATTCTTTGACCCAATGATCTCATCCCTGGGATTTGATCCCAAGGATATAATTCAGGGGAAGTAAAAATACAAAATAATTAGCAGGGTTTAATCGCTTATCGGAGTGTGTGAAAAATCATATATATGTACATGCCTATGTATTAGCTAGCTTTTGCTGTGTAACAAATTACTCCCCCAATGTAGCAGCTTAAAACAACAAACATTTATCCTCTCACACAGTTTCTGAGCATCAGGAATCCAGGAGTGCCTTAGCTGGGTGGCCCTGTGATCCAGTGTTTGGGGTTTAAGGGTCTAAGATTCAGGATTCAGGTAGTGGGATCCAGTGGTTTGGGTGGTGGTCCAGGACCTACAATGGCTGGGCTATCCAGGCTCTGTCATGAGGCTGCAGTCCGCATCCTGTTCCAAACTCTGCTATGTGGCAATTGTCTAGAGTTTCTCACCACATGGGCTGCTCCATAGGACTTCTCAAGACCTGGTACCTGCCTTCCTTTAGAGCAAGTGATGAGAGGGACAGAGAGAGAGGCAAAGAGACAGAGACAGAGAGACAGAGCGAACAACCAAGATGGTAGCTGCAGTGTCTTTTATAACCTAATTTTGGAAGCGACATACCATTACTTCTGCTGTATTCTGTTGGCCACAGAGACCCACCCTACTGCAATGAGAAAGGAGACTACACAAGAGTATGAATACAAAGATTCAGGAATCATTGGGCAATACCTTGGAGGGTGGCTATCCTGTCTACACAGGAGAAAGAAAGTTAAAAGAATATAAAATTTTTGTTTTGTTTTTGGAAACTGGCTAGTACAGGGATCCGAATCCTTGACCTTGATCTTATCAACACTGCACTCTAACCAGCTGAGCTAACCAGCCAGCTCTCTTGAAAGAACATAAATTAATAGCCACACAGAGATTATCTAGGGGCTTTAAATCATATACATCTCTCTCTCTCTCTCTCTCTGTATATGTGTGTGTGTGTTCTGAATTTTCTATGATGCATTTAAATTACTCATTGTTGTGGGTTGAATTGTATCCCCCCAAAAGATGTGCTTAAGTCCTAAATCCCAGTCCCTATGAATGTGACCTTATTTGGAAATAGGGTCTTTGCAAATGTAATCAAGTTAAAATGAGATCATAGTGGATTGGGGTGGGCCCTAATTCAGTGACTGGTGTCCTTACCAGAAGAAAGAAATTTGAACACCAGTGACACAGACACACACACAGGGGAGAATGCCATGCGAAGACAGGCAGAAAATGGAATGATGGGTCTACAAGCCAAGGAACGCTGAGGATTGCTGGCTGTGTTAGTCCATTTTGTTGCTTATAACAAAATACCTGAAACTGGGTGATTTATAAAGAAAATGAAATTTATTGCTTACAGTTTCTGAGGCTGGAGAGTCCAAAGTCCATCTGGTGGTGGTGACAGTGACCCAGGGGTCCCACATTGCAAGATGGTGGAAGCAGAGAGAGCAGAGAAAGACAGACTCTCCTCTTCTTTTAAAGCCCTCAGAACCACACCCCTGACCCCCATTTTTAATCCATTCACTACTTCATGGTCCTACAATTCCATCACTTCTTCAAGGCTTAACCTTTCGATTACCAAAATAGGATTTCCCACCCTCTTAACAGTCACAAGGGGGCTAAGTTTCTAATACATAAAACTTGGGAGACAATTCAAGCTTCAATAGTTTTGCGGGGACATAATTCAATCCACTACACTGGCCATGACCAGAAGCTGGAAGAGGTAAGAAAGGATCCTCCCCCAGAGCCTTCGGAGGGGGCGTGGCCCTGCTGACACCTTGATATCAGACTTCCAGCCTCCAGAACTGTGAGAGAATAAATTTCTCTGGTTTATATTCACCATAGCCCAAAGGTGGAAGCAGCCCAATTGTCTATTGACAGATGAATGGATAAACACAATATGGTCCATCCATACAATACAATATCATTCAGCCTTATAAAGGAAGGAGATTCTGACACACACTATGACACACGGATGCACCTTGAGGACATTGTGCTCAGTGAAACAAGTCAGACACAAAAGGACATATGCATACCCCAGCCCTTAATCCCTATTCCCCAATGTGATTCCACTCATAGGAGGTCCCTAGGTCATCAGATCCACAGAGACAGAAAGTAGGAGGGGGGGTGCCAGGGGCTGGGGAGGGGGATGGGGAGTGAGTGTTTGATGGGGACAGAGTTTCAGTTTGGGAAGATGAGAAAGTTCTGGAGAGGACGGTGGTGATGGGTGCTCAAGAACGTGAATGTGCTTAATGCCACTGAACTGTACACTTAAAAACGGTTAAAATGGTAAATTTTATGTCATGTATATTTTACCACAATAAAAAATGTGTACCGGCCAGCTGCCCCCCCTCCTCCAAATGTGCATTTTAGGGGTTGGCCGGTTAGCTCAGTTGGTTAGAGCGCAGTGTTGTAACACCAAGGTCAAGAGTTTGGATCCCTGTACCAGCCAAGCTACACACACAAACACACACACACAGAGTAAAAAAAAAAAAAAAAAAAAAAAAAAAAAAAAAAAAAAAAAAAAAAAAAAAAAAAAAAAAAAAAAAAAAAAAAAATCTGTTGTTTTAAGCCACCCAGCTTTTAGTAATTTGCTATGACAAATTACCAATACACTTGTGTAATTAGAAAAACATACAGGGCTGGCTGGTTAGCTCAGTTGGTCATAGCATGGTGCTGCTAACACCAAGGTCCAGGGTTCGATCCCTGCACTGGCCAGTAGAAAAAACAAAACAGAAAAATTAGAAGGGGTTGTAAATATGGACTTTCTAATTGCTCCCACTTTATAAATGTGGAAACAGACTCCAAGAGGGAGTTGTTTCCTGTCTCTTGGAAATGTGTGCTTTGGGAAACGGTCCCATGTACCTTCCCTGTGGGTAGGTTAAGGTGGTCCCACATCCACCAACCCCTTTTCAGTAAAAACCACAATGAAAGAGCTTAGAAAATTTATTCCTTTTGTTCTTTTCCTTTGAAATAACACACACAGGCAGGGAGGTGGGGGCATGGTGTGCGTGGATGGAGGTGGAAACCATGTGTGGGGGAGTCCTCCAGCCCCCCCCAACATCCCAGTTCCTCTTTTGCAATCTCTTAATGGGGTTCCCCAAGGATTGAGGAGGAATGCAGTAATTGGTCCCTCCCCCCAATTATCCTAAGCTCAGAATTCAACTATAAAGTGCAGAATGTATGGGGGTGGGGAGGCCTGGGGGCTTGGGTTGATGGGGGAGGGGGCTTTGCTCCTCTCTGGTAGAAAAATAGACCTGGAGTGAATTTTGGGATTTAGCTTCTTTGTTTATTTTTGTGTAATTGGATGCTTGGGTTTAGGGGAGGTTGGTTCGTGTAGATTTGCTCTTGGCTTCCAACTCTTTGGAGCCTAGGGAAAGGGTGGAAGTACTGGGGTGAGGAGGTCCCCTTAATGTGTCACCAGCCTCAGATCACCTCCTTGCCAGCCCCCAAGAATGAGTGACTGGACCCTCCAGTGGGACAAGGGTTCTGGGGGTTATTAACTTACAAGGTGGAAGGGAATGGAAGACACTTCAGTACAGGTGGGGGTGTGGGAGGGAGGTGGTTTGAGAAAGCAATTTTCCCACAGGGCCAGAAGGTGGGGCCATGCTGAGCAGGTGGGGTGGAGGGGATCCAGTGTCCATGCAGGACATGGGGGGTGCCTCCCTTCCCTTGCTGTCTGGTGATAAGCCATATCAGGACACAGGCATGGGGTGGGGTGGGGTACCTGGGCTTCCCTGCAAGCTCCCCAGACCATGCGATCCCATGTATGGAGATCTGGGCTCTGCAGTGTCTCTGGGATGGGGGTGCATGGGATCCAGCTTGCTGTGATTGGGCTATTGGGATCTAGAGTTGGGGTCTGAGCATTTGGGATCTAGTGCCTGGGGGATTCAGATGAGAATCCAGGGGTAAAGGGCTTGGGATCCAGTGCTTGGGAGTATCAGAGTCTGCCTTCTAGGGATGAGGTTTCAGTATCCAGATACTGGGGTGAAGGGATTTGGGATCTAGAATCTGGAATCCAATGGCTGCAGTTGCCAGGATCCACTTGCTGTACGGTTGGGCTCTCACAGTTGTGGTTTTAGGAGCTAGAATCCGGTGGATCAGGGCTTGGAAATATGGGATCCAGTGGTTGGGGGTTGAGGGCATAGTGCTTGAAATGTGGGGATCCAGTAGTTGACGCAGAAGGAACTGGAACCCAGTGTTGAGGTAAAGGAATTCAGGAATCCAGTGGTTGGTGTGAGGGGATCTGAGATCCAGTGGTGGGGCCCCCAGGATCTAGGCAATGCATTGTCAGGATCCGGTGGCTGAGGTTTCTTGACATCCAGAATCCAGTGGCTGACCTTGGATATCCAGGGCTTGAGGCATGGGGATCTGGGATCTGCCAGTGGGGTTGGGGATCTACAATCCAGTGCTGCACAAGGACACTGGATCTGACGCCTGAGGGAGCTGAGGTCTGGGTGTTGAGGTATGGGGATACGTGCTCCTGTGGTGGGGGTACCGGGATCCATTCACTAAGTTGTAAGGGATCCAGTGGTTAAGACGTGGAGTTCCAAGACACAGTGATGGGGCAGGAAAAAGTGGGATCCACCTTTGGGATGGGGGAATGCAGGATCCAGTGATTTGGGGAATAGGGATTAAGGGCTGGGATATGCATAATCTTGGATCTTTTGGTTAGGGTATCAGATTTGAGTTGCTGAAGTGTGGGATCCAGCAGTTATGCTATGGGGATCTGAAATCTAGAGGTGGGGTATTGGGATCCAGTGGCCAAAGTGCGGGGATCCTGTGACTCAATGGTTGGGGTGTAGGGGTTTACGATCCAGGATTTGGGTGCTGGGATCCAGTGGCTGAAGTGTGGGGTCTAGTGGTTTGGGATGGGAGGATCTGGGGTCCATTGGTTGGGCCATCAGTCTCCAGTGGCTGAGGTGTGGGAGACGTCACAGTTGGGGAGAGGGATCTTGCAGGGGAGGGAACGGGCTTCTGGTCCCTCACCTGGATGTGACCCCCAGGGCCTGCTTCATGTTCTCGTAGACCACATAGGAGATGCTCACAGCTGGAATAACCTTCATGAAGTTGGGGGCAATGCCCCTGTAGAGGCCCCACACGCCCTCCTGGGACAGGATGTGACGGAACAGCCCCAGCATGGAGAGCTGGGGGGCACCCTCGATGGAGGCTGGGAGGGGGTGGGGGGGCCAGGTAAGGCCAGAGTTCCCCCTCTCACTTCCCCCTCCTATCCCCCAGGGCTTGGCCAGGTGGCCATTGCAGCAGGAGGGAGGAGGGTTAGACTAACAGTGGGACCTACCACTCGGAGTCAGGACTTCTAATGGCGTTGGAGGTCGCTGCTCACCTTTTCACCCCAATGTTGAGAGCCCAAGTTTGGGCATGGTTAGAAGCACAGCAGGGGTGTGTGTGTGTGTGTGTGTGTGCGTGCGCGCGCGCGCGCATGCGGAAGAGGGTAGGTATTTCCTTTTCCTCGAACTTGATTCCCTCCTCCTTTTCCCAGCTAACTCCTACTCATCCTCCCAACCTCTATTCCAAAGCCAGCTCTTCAGGGGAGCCCTCCTGGGCGCCCCAGCCTAAGTCAGGCTCCTCCTTCTCCCCTTTATTCAACCCTAAATCAATACTTAATTGTGGAATAATTTATTTAGCATCTTTCTTCCTCTCCAGCCTGTGAGCTCTAGGAGGGTGGAGGCCATGTCTGTCTTGTGCACTGATATATCCCCAGCAGAAATCATGAAAAACAAATGCTAAAATTCCCAAAGAAATTCTCAAAACAAATTCAGGGATAGTAGGGATGGAGGTGAGGAAGAACTCATTAAAAAACAAGAAACAAAAGGGCCAGCCTGTGGCTCACTTGGGAGAGTGTGGTGCTGATAACACCAAGGCCACAGGTTCGGATCCCTATATAGGGATGGCCAGTTAGCTCACTGGGTGAGCGTGGTGCTGGCAACACCAAGTCAAGGTTAAGATCTCCTTACCGGTCATCTTTAAAGAAAAACAAAACAAAACAAAACAAAAACAGAGAAAAACAATAACCAGCCTGGCTTTGACCCTCTGTAGCCCTGATCCTAGATGCCCCCTCACTATAACCCAGCCTTGCAAATTACAGCTCAAGTTACCAGCCTGGAAATGCCAGACATTTGCCAACACGGCCTCCCCACTAAAATTGCCAGGGCATTCTTCCAAGACTCATCACATCTGTTTTCCTAGTTAATCCTCAGCTCCATAAGGGTAAAAGGTTCCCATTCCAGTGTCACAAATGGGTAAACTGAGACCCAGAGAAGGGTAAGGACTTAGTCAAGGCCATCTAAATCCAGAACAATCCCAGCCCAGGACTCTCTCTCTGAGGAGCTGGGGAAGGGGAGGTGGGACCCAAGTGGTGAGACCTTCCCTGCCCCATCCTCCCACCCAGGCCTCACCTTGGGCCTGCATGCGGGTCCGGACCAGGGCCAGGGGGTAACTGGCTATCTGGCCGCAGGTGCTGGAGATGGTACCGCAGGCCAGGAGCACGAGGATGCCCGGGTTTGCTGAGTCATGGCTATACTGCTGGAGCCAACGGTTCTTCAGGGTCTGGAGTGGAGAAGGGAGTAGGATGGGTTGGGGGTGGGTGATACCAGGACCTGGCTTCAAAGGCCTTACTGGCCGGCTTTGTGTACCATGACAGCTGGTACTAGCTGGTACCTCCTAGGGGCTCTGCAAGCACTTTACCTACATCCCCTCACTCAATCTTCACCTTGACCCTCTAGGGTAGGTAGAATCACAGTTCTCTGTATCCTAATTCATGCCCTATCTGTGGTACCTGTGCATATGTTACTTGATATTGTGCAAAGGACTTTGCAGATGTGGTTAAGTTAAGGATCTTGAGATGGAGAGATTGTCCTGGGTTTTCTGAGTGGGTCCAAGGTCATCACAAGGGTCCTTATAAGAGTCAAAAAAGGAGATGTGAAGACAGAAGCAGAGGAGAGAGAGGGAGGGAGAAGATTCTATGCTGCTGGCTCTGAAGGTGGAGGAAGAAACCATGAGCCAAGAAACATGGGTGGCTGCTAGCTTTTTCAAGGCAAGGAAACAAATTCATTTCTAGAGGCTGCTTCATTTCAAACTTGCCAACTTCCAACGGCTAGCGTCCACAGCTCTGCCCGGGGACTTTCTCTGGGCCCAAGCCAGTCTGCTCTGATCACTAGGAACAGGCGGAGAGTGGTGGGGAATCAGCATCTCTAGAAGCAACCTTCAAATGACTGACCTGGTGTATCAATACCCCAGCTCCCTTGCCCCTCCAGGAGGGCACGTTGTACGCTGCCTCTCCCACATTCCCAATGGGATTTAGCTCCACGTGCCCACAGTGGTGACTTGCTTGATGATGCACTGTTATGGGTTGAATTGTGTCCCCCCAAAAGACATGTTAATGTCCTAACTCCCAGTATTTTAGAATGTGACCGCCTTTGGAAAGAGGGTCTTTGCAGACGTAATTAGTTAAGATGAATAAGGTGGGCCCTTAGTCCAATATGAATGATATTCTTATAATAAGAGAAGAGACACAGAGATGGAGACACAGAGGGAAGACAGCCATGCGACAACAGAGGCAGAGACAGGAGTGACACATCCATAAGCCAAGGAATGCCAGTGATGGCCAGCAACCACCTGAAGCCAGGAAGAGGCAGGAATGAGTCTCCCTACAGGTTTCAGAGGGAACAAGGCTGTGCTGACACCTCGATTTTGGACTTCTGACCTCCACAACTGTGAGACAATAAATCTCTGTTGTTTTAAGCCAACCAATTGGTGACACTTCATTACAGCAGCCCTAGGAAACGAATACATGCATCCTTCGTGGCCCGTCTTCCTGTCTCATACCTCCCCAATACACCATTGGCCCTCACATCCCTGTCTTAGGGTCTGCTTTTGGGAGATCTCAAACTAAGAAAAGTACTTTATCATCTCCATTGTATAGATGAGAAACTGAGGCTCGGGGGAAGTTATTTGCCCTAAGCCAGACATTAAAGGTGAGGATCAACAGTCAGAGCCACATTTGAGTCTAGAGCTGTGCACTTGAAGTCTTTGGTGTGGCTGATCCCTTCTGAAGCCTTCTACCATGGCCTTCGTAAGGACAAGACATTTTTTGCCTTGCGGCTGCAGTGGCTTATAGATTTTATTTCCTGTGTCAATTTTTTCCCCCCCAGCTGGCCAGTAGGGGGATCTGAACCTGTGACCTTGGGGTTATAGGGCTGTGCTCTAACCAACTGAGCTAACTGGCCAGCCCTGGTTACATTTATTTCTGCTCACAACCTTTTTTTTTTTTTTTTTTTTTTCCCTTTTTGT